ATGCGCACTCTTGAGAAGCAATCAGTTGAGTATTTCAAAGAACGTCAGATGTTGTTATTGTGGTTACAACTGCCAAGAAGATCAAGCTCAGCTAAAAATATATTGGTTAATTTATATAGTTAATAAATATAGTTATAAATAAATAAATACACATGTATGTGTCTTATAGAACCAAACAAGCAAGATACATCACTCAGTCATCTTTCATAGCTGTATTTGTAATATATGTAAGAAAAATTCTAACAGAAGATGAAAAATTTTACATCGTCAAAAAGTGACAGAGCCACTTTAGTCTTTATTTTAAACAGGTTCTATAGGCGCATATAATAATGTATCAGGAAAAAAAGAGAAAGACAAATAATAAGATAATATAGGCACATTAACCTAACAAGCTATTCACTGCACCCCCAGATGTTGCTGAACAATGACTCCTATGATTCTCTGATGGTTTTCTGCATTCAAAGAATTCTGGGAGTTGTAGGACATCAACTTATTGGGGGAGGGGGGAGGGCAGACTTTAAGATCCCTATTTTAAACAGATATCCAGTAAAACAGCTCTTGGAACTGTACCAATCAAAATATACAAAAATGTATTTTTAAAGCAGATCAAATTCAGTTGGTCCATCTCGTCTGCCTTTTTCCTGTTTAACAGAATAGACTGGATTACGTTTTCCATTCACGACAGTGATGTATGTATATTAAGCCATTCTGACCTTTTCTGCTGCATTACAACTTACATCTATTTAACTAGTAAAATGACACAATGCATTTCATAACAAGTTTCCATGTTTGAGATATATATATAATAATTGAACTTAAATTACATTTTCTCATCTCTACAAGGTGCAACATTTGTAAGAAAAAGGCAAATATCTTCACAGTTCTAAACATTCCGATGTGGATCACAGCCAACAATACCGGAGTCTATAAAACCTACCATATAAAAATGAATGTGTGTTCCTGTTCAAGTTGTCATTATTTGTGTTAGAAATGTTAATACCATTCAAGAGGGTGTTCCAAACATCAGATTTCCTGGAAACATTGTACGGAAGCCGTCTGGAGAATGTCATATCGTCCAAGGGAGCAAACTATGAATCTAAAACAAGGTTTTAACTTAACAGTTATTGAAAAAAAAAAACATAATTTTCAATATTTCAAATGTTCATTATTTCTGAATAATAGTGGAGGTTGACCTTACGAAAGTTTTAAAAACACAAATTTTACAAAATGATATAATTATTTACTATTAGGAGGAACTGGGAGGTAATATGCCTGGAGCAGTCATACGAGTATTCTTGCCTGGTTTATTTATTATGCAGTTTGAAAAATAAACATGTATATAGTATTAGGCAATGTTTCTTATAACTTTCATAATTTTTTAGGTTTAATTTAAAGTGAGAGCCACAGGGGGCGTGATTTTAAAAAGTATGATCAGGCCACGATTATGCAGAGAATCCTTGTACTCGGTTTCTCCACAAAAACAGTGGGTAGCGCTGAATGGGGGGGGAATAGATTCCTCCCTGGAGTCTGGGGGGCTCAGAGGAGCTAGAACACATGGACAGGATGGCTCTGTTATCACAAGCACTCCACTCTTGGAAGATGCTTTATGAATAACCAGATATTTCGCCTACACCTAGTCCCCTTCTTCCAGTGACAAACAAGAGCAAACTGGGGTGGGGGGGCTCTCATTGAGGGCCTGGTCCTTTTTAGGGGAGGGAGATTATATTCCTATTCATAGGGCATTGCAAAATGAGAAACTACGTTACCTGGACTCATTATTGGAAGGTAGACCATAGACGCCCTTAAACTCCTTCCAATGTATACTGAAACATTACTATGGCACTCTTCCGCATAAAGATCGGTTACACAGAGAGCTTACATGGTTTGAGGACTTCTGCTTGCGGACCGAGTCTTGACACTTTATCAATATCTACTGGTAGGGTCTAGATTGGTAAACAACACTTTTTAAAGGCAAAGGGAAAATCTCATGGGCAAGGGTTGATGTTCCAGGAGGGATAAGCCAAATGGCAAATGATTTAGGTAAACTAGAAAAATGGTCAGAATTGTGGCAACGGACATTTAATGTGGATAAGTGCAAGATAATGCATCTTGGACGTAAAAACCCAAGGGCAGAGTACAGAATATTTGATAGAGTCCTAACCTCAACATCTGAGGAAAGGGATTTAGGGGTGATTATTTCTGATGACTTAAAGGTAGGCAGACAATGTAATTGTGTCTGGAACTCAAATCGGACACTCAATCACCCGAACACCGCTGAGACCTCCAAAGCTCCATAACTCCCGAACGGAGGGGCCAATCAGCCCCTCGTTCGGTGAACTAAATGTACCGAATAAGGGAATTCACATGAATACCTATTTAACATTTTATGGCAAGTAATTCTATATGTTTTATCTCCCAAACAGACACCGACCGCAAGGCCAAAAACATGGAGCCTTTTTCGGATACTACCTCGTGTGCGGTCGGTCAAATTGCCTCTTCCACCTAACTCCGAACCCCTGGTCCGATCTGGGTGAATTTTGAATATGTTGGTCACCCAGATCAGGGCTACCAGGGGGTACCCCTTATATAATTATATCTGACTGTTTTGGGGTACATCCAGAAATCGGGTAAAATTGCAGTATGTATAAGTGGATTATGTGTCACACTGAGGGGAGGAGATGTGTGGGAGGTAACCATTACACTATTGGCTACTGTCCAAATTAATGTGAATCCCTCCCTTGCATGGGAGAAACCTTTAAAAGGAGGTTGTGTGATTAAAAGTTCAGTTCTGCTCCTGATGCTGTGTGTCGCCCAGTCATTGGGATCTATATTGGGATATTCGTGGATTACCTTGCTTGCTGTGACTATTGTTATATGGGATTGTATTACTTGTTCCTGAGCCTCACTGGGATCTTTAGTGGAGATAACCTGTGAAATACCAGCTCTCTGCTACAGATCTAAAAGAAGGCAATAACCTAGTCTGAAGCGCTTCCAATTGTGCAACAAACTAGGAAAAAATTCCTTCTTAACTCCAGAATGGAAGTCATATCTCTCTCCTTGAATTGAGAAGCTACTACCTCATTAATTAAAAATTATATCCCTGAATATTTTGTTTTTACGAGTATTTATGCAATTGCTGTTTAAACATCTGTACAGACTCTGATAAAACCACTGTGAAAAACCCTTTCCTTTGCCTTAGAGTAAATCTCCTTTCTTCCAGTCTAAATGCGTGACTTTGTGTCCTATGTATAGGCCTGTTTATGAACAGATTTCCAGACAATGGTTTGTAATGGCCCTGAATTTATTTGCATAATGCTATCATATGCAGTCATTCAGTTTTTTAAGGGTACACATAAACTGTTTCTAAAGCGGTAAAATGTGCAATCTGGATATACCAAGGACTTTCCTAAAGGTGGAGCCTCATTAAAAAAATATTTTAATATTTAAAAAAACTTACGTTTATTTTTTTCTTATCATTTATTGTCTACGTATAAATGTCCATGCAGACGTTCCATCTCTCGGCCTGTATTAATTACAGAGCAGTTTCCTTCTGTGGCTGAAGTTATTTTCATAGCAGCAATCCCAGTAATATTAGAGCCATATCTTGTCGTACAAAATTCACATATTTGTAACAATTTCCACCAGTCTGCGAGTCTAGGCCTGGCCGTTAAACTAAATGTTTCACTTCTAATTATCGTCAACAGATCGGCTGCTTAAAATATCTCCAGTATCTGTCAAAAAAGACAACTCATACTCTATGTGTCGTCTTGGCCAGACCAGCTTAATAGCACTGTACATGACATGTAATAATAGCACATGGCAGTATATTCAGTTTGGCAATGCCTGGTTCTAGTCAATCTTTCAGAATTCTGAAACAACAGAGCATTATGCTTTCCCTTGAATGTGTTCACATTTTGTAAGATACCATTATCATAATGCTCAATAAAAATAAAGAAAGGGCTTTGATTGTAATCTTTTTTTTTAAGAAAAAGAGGACATTTCAAGATCATTATCCCAAAAACCTTGCAAACTTGAATAAAAATAAAATGCATCTAACCCGGAGCATATCGATCTAAACTGGGGGGCTGATGAAATGTTATAGCAAATACTAAATGGAATCAACATGTGTCAGTATTTTAGTTACAAAAACACCTCTTTTTGGTGTAAACTACAATGGATCCTATACATTATGACCATTTTATACTTAGCCTACTGGCACTACATCAGCATATCCCAGTTAAGGAAAGTCTAACTATGGCCTCGATTGAATTCTTTTGGATAAACTTTTCAAATGATTTATCTACTTATGGCTACAGGGGAATCCCAGGTTGGAATTGGCTACTACCTATATGCAATTGGCTAATATGTATAATTATTCATTTTAGGTTTACGTGTTAAATGTATTTATTAAGGGAATATCATTTATATTTACACTATATTTTCAATGCATGCAAGATCTATTCTATCATTGAGATGCTGTTCTCCTTGTCTTGCCTTGTAGCCACACCAGAATTAAATTGAGTCCTGTGTGCTTTCAGTATGAAGCCAAGTATATGGATTATATTAGGTTAGAGCAATTATCTAGAAACTAGACTTCACTTGCTCGACAAAGCATGTTTATACATTACTAACAAGGGCTGTGTCACTATTGGCAGAGCTCGTTGGTAATTATTGGCAGAGCTCTCCAATCTCTCTTACAACTTTTATAGAGGTTTCATGTGTTCTGTGTAAGAACGTTTAAATTACCCTATTAGTAGAATGTAATGATTTAAACATCCTTACGTGTAATTTTTAAATAGTTTAACTTCAATACACGATTTCTTTTACACACCGTAATGGAGTGATTTATTATTATTTTTATTCCATATGACTGTCATATTGTAGTGAATGTGGATGTTAAAGGACAGTTTAGTTTTACAAAGTGCAGACTCCTAGCTTGCCGCCTTGCTTAGTAAAAGGGAGGGAGGGGGCTGGGAGATTCCAACTTCCACCTCCGGCAGGTTTGCTGCCTCTCTTACGAGCCCTGGAGCCCAGCAACAATGCTCTGACAACCAGGGCTACCAAACAGCAATATTTCGACAGCTAGGGCTACCAGCCAGCAATGCTCTGACAGCCAGGGCTACAACACAGCAACACTCTGACAGCCAGGGCTTCCAAACAGCAATGCTCCGACAACCAGGGTTACCAGACAGCAATATTTCGACAGCTAGGGCTACCAGACAGCAATGCTCTGACAGCCAGGCTGCCAGAGAGCAATGCTCCAACAGCCAGGGCTACAACACAGCAATGCTCCACAAGCCAGGGCTACAACACAGCAACACTCTGACAGCCACGGCTACCAGACAGCAATGCTCCGATAGCCAGGGCTACAACACAGCAATGCTCTGACAGCCAAGGCTACTACACAGCAACGCATCTGACAGCCAGGGCTACAAGACAGCAATGCTCTGACAGCCAGGGCTACAAGACAGCAATGCTCTGACAGCCAGGGCTACTAGACAGCAATGTTCCGACAGCCAGGGCTACAAGAGAGCAATGCTCTGACAGCCAGGGCTACTAGACAGCAATGCTCCAACAGACAGGGCTACAACACAGCAACGCTCTGACAGCCAGGGCTACTACACAGCAACGCCCTGACAGCCAGGGCTACAAGACAGCAATGCTCCGACAGCCAGGGCTACCAGACAGCAATGTTCCGGCAGCCAGGGCTACCAGACAGCAATGCTCCGACAGTCAGGGCTACTACCAGACAGAAATGGCTCATAATACTTGCTTTATATATGGGAATATAGGGTACTGGCTGGCAGTAATGGCTGTACCCCTCTGATATACCCTGCCATTTAATATAATAAAAATAATCCGATTGCATGTTTTTTCACTGAGATATTGATTTAAGTTTCCCCAGGAATCGCACGTTTAGTCCAAACCTGACAAACTTAAGTCTGCAATGCCGCTCTCCGGTCCTACATTTGTCAATTTAGGAAATAAGCCCCATTTTATCCATCACTAGTGTTACTGACTGTGCGCACTGATACTTAATGTGATTTCTTTTTAACATCATTGTTTGTAAATCTTGTGTTTAGTAAATAGAATGATTTATATGTCATGTAGACAACTGAAGGCTCGCGCACATCTCCTCCGAGCGCAGAAATCATCTAGCAGCACACGCTCTACCTTGTTATTAAATTTTAATGAAATAAGGTTCCTGAATAAGGAATTGCTGATGCGGCCTGTCGCTGTTCTGCATATCAAGCAGTTTGCTAGCCTTTGGCATAATTTCTGTTTATCTCTCATGGTGTGTATAAGTAGCAGGCACACTGTGTAAATCATTACCTCTCTGTCTGCTAAGGCTTGGCTTAGACAGCTTAGCATTAATGTACAGGCAGGAATTCTGTGACATGTAATGTACAGAGCAAAATGACCAATTAACAGGCTCACACACACGGTCCGTTTTAGCGACTGGACAGGAAGATCATAGGCCAGTGTCTTTCAATGTAAAGACTGGAGAAATGTTTGATGCAATCGTCATGGCAACCAGTAGAATGTTTCTTCAGCCACCTTCCAAAAAAAATTCCCCAAAATGTCTTGATAATTATTATTATTATTTTATTATTTATATAGCACCAGCAAATTCCATAGCGCTGTACAAATGTGATAAGATCCATTATGCATAATATTTGAATTCAGCATTTAATACAGAATAGGATGTGCAACATAAGAACCAATAGCCGGTATACGGAGGTAGTTAAGCACTTCAATGCCAAGGACTTTTTGTTTGCAAAAATATTAGCATAAAATGTATCACTAGAAAATAAAACAGCAATTTTGTGTATAGATTGCTGTCCAGAAAAACATAAAATGTAAGTTTATGTAAATAAATATAATTTTTATTTTTAAATTATTTGTTTATCCTGTATACAAATATTTAGACGGTAAACAATATCCTTTATCTTGCAACTTTTCCCCACAGGGTCTGAAATGTTAGGAGAACGGCAGAAATAACATTTATCTCACATACAGTAAATGTGATGAAAATCGATAAATAAAAATGGTAAAATATCGTGTTTATAGATATTTGTAATGACACTGAATGTATTATTCAAGGTACAGCTTACTGAAAATGGAAACGTAATGTAAAAAGAATATCTGCCATCGGGGATAATGCCCACATGCAGTAAATGCAGATAAATAATATATTTCTAAAATAAAGACTCACTGTGATTAAATGAGTGGAGAGGATTCTTGGCAGGGAAATTATTTTATTGGAGTATAAATGATATGATAAGTGATGATTTACAGTGAAAGTTAAAACATAGTATACGCATTTTTGATAGTGAAGGGGTTAAAGGATAAATCTTTGCGTTTGCTGCAATATGTAGATCCCATTGTACAGCGCTATGGAATCTGATGGTGCTATATAACTAATAATAATAATAATTAGGTTACATTTAGTTATGCTGGCTTCATAATGTTCTCTAGTTTATTTTTATACCAGTTAGGATGAAGTTCCCACTGTTAACTTGCTAATGACCAGTGATATAATATGGTTTGCCTCTTGTCATGAAATAGTTTAGTATTTACTGGAAGATCAACCGTTCATAAACCAGATTTAAAATATTAGTCATTTCCTGGTTTTGTGAGCTCTCACTGCAAACCCTACAGAGCCTGGAGTTTTGCATAAAATGCAGGAAAGTTTTTATTTTTTTTATTTTGAATATATTGTTTTTTAATGGTGTTTGCATTTTTAATGCATTTAAAAAGGAATGAGTCCAATCCAGCCAGGATTGTCCCTTTAAATTCGTGGAGCATGTAAAGGAACAGCCACATTCGTCTCCAAAGAAGGATTTTGAAGGGTATTCAGGCCTTTCTCCTGCTCTGTAACTGTCCACCAACGTATCCCTGACTTGTGTTAGTTCACTAATCTATTATTTAGCATTAAAGTATATTTGGCATCCACTCATTTGTGTGTTTGACCATTTATTTAACTTTTTATGCTTTTATTATTTTTTATTAATTTTATTCTGTTCTGGACACACCTATTACTACCCTACATGTATCTACCCTACATCTGTACCCTGGTGAGGATAACTCTCTTGAGAATTTACCCGACAATATATACCTGATGGGGATTATACCACCCATGCACTATTAATTGAGCAGTATCACTGCTCAACTAAATGTGAGTAAATTATTATTATTCTTATCTGGCATTATATTTTACCACAGTGAGAACTATTGTTTGTTTATTATAATTTTTTCTGGTATATTTCTCTGCAAGCTGAGATATTGATCTATAACGCTACATATCCGTCAGTGGGGATATATACCGCCGTATGCCGTTTTTTACTTAGAGCTGGTTTATAGCTCCATCTAATGTGAGTGCTAGTTTTCATATCTGTGTTGTCAGAAGACAATACAAACAATGTAGTTTAACATCATTACACTGTTATAAACCTGAAAAGTACAAATATCTGCTGGCAGTTAAAGCTCAAATAACTGACTGTATCAGCAACAGATTTGTTTGTAAATAGTGCATGTCCTGTTTACTAATAGTGATAAATGGGATCTCTCCTATTTTCTTATTATTATTGTGTCCTATTAAATTCTTGAAGAATTGATCAAACGTAAAATATTATGTTTTCAAAAGAATTCTACATTTTTATGAGCTCCAGGAACGGAGACCTTCTTTACAAAAAATATGCAAATCGAGAGTCAACTCAATTTTGTCAAATCGATAGCCCCCTCTCTTCGTGACACACCATTTATTAAAGCATAGATTGCGAGGAATTCAACATCAATTCAAAGAGAATTTTACATTGTAGGGCAAAATTGGGGTTTTGGAAATATTCTCAAGGAAGATACATTTTCATTTAAAGTGTTTTAGCTTAAAATTTTAAATGTGTTGAATTCACTTTGAATTGCTGATAATTCATGCTTTTGTGAATAACCCTGTACCTATTTAATGCAGTAAAGGGAAACTATAGTGTTAAGGAACACCTAGTTGTATTCAAAGCACTACAGTATCCTAAAGTGCCTGCCTCCCTCGCATCCCCCTGCAGCAATGAAAAGGTTAAAAACCCTTTTGTCACTTACCTGATTCTCACGCCCATAACTCTTGGCGCTGGGTCAGACACCACCTCTGCTCCTTCACAGAAGCTAGCCGGCCGGGGGCCTAATGCACATGCATTGAGCACCGCGATTGCGTTAGGATGTCCCCCATAGGAAAGCATTGTATAATGTTTTCCAATGGGGTTTCGGGAGATGCTGGATGCAAAGCGTGAGAACGTCCAGAGTCAATTAAGTCACCTAACCAGTAGGAAGTGCCTCTAGTTGCTGTTTGGTAGACAGCCACTAGAGGTGGTGTTAAAGGGACAGGGGCACTATCGTGTCCTGCCTGGTCTACACCAGAAACAGGTGCAAAGAATAATTTAACCACTAGAGGGTGCTTTGCTGCACTGCATTACACAGCAGCAGCAACACAGTAAATAAAAGAGAAAACAGTCAGACAAAAAATACTGACTCAAAACAAACGTTCAGATAATATACGACGCTGACAAATAACAGCTGTGGTGCTCTATTAAAGCACAGATTACTGTGAACGTGTACATTGTCATACACCAGGAAAACAATGCTTTAAAAAAGCGAATAACTGAAAAAAAACGATTTGATTTTTTTTCTCTCTACCAGGACATACATGTGCACACTGTCTTCAGGGGATTGAACGTTAGGATGTATGCTGCGTCTGACTATACATGCAGTCATTACTGCTTTAACCCCTTAAGGACACAACTTCTGGAAAAAAAGGGAATCATGACGGAATGTTTCCGTCATGTGTCCTTACGGGGTTAACCAGGGCTTGGATCAATTGTTTACCTATGTGTTTATTGACATGCGATTTTTTAAATCAAGTTTATGACATACTGCAAAGGCACCGGGTCAGTTACTCTTTGGGCTTCACATACGTTGTAGCCTTTTTCTTTCCCCTTATATACTATTGTAGTAAGGTTTTTTGTATCAATATCTATATATAATATATATTTTTTGCATCTATTTTGAGTGCGGTATATTTTGTATTATTTAAAAGATCCCTACCACTAGAGGACTCTGCTTCTGCATGTGTTAAAACAGGTTTTATGTGAATGTCATGTCACAGTCTACAGGAATTTGCTTATATACGATAAATAACGTCCGTACTGATTGTAAATAAAGCCCGCGTTTTGAATGTATATTAATATGCAATTTTCTAATAAAAAAAAAAAATCATAGCAGGAACATTTTATTTAACGATAAAATATACAGAAATTCTCCGCATTTTGCATTAGTGTGTACAGAGGGAAAAAAACATCTAAACTTTACTTTAAAAAAAAATAGTTAATTTAAAAAAATTA